GTGGGGAGGAAGCCTTGAAATAGTTGCATCACGACTCAAACGCAACACAAACTACACAAACCTATTTGGGGGGAGTCCTTCCAAACAATCATATAGGATGGGTTGGAACGGATCCACAGGGTCCAAGGATGCAAACCTTTACAAAAATAGACACTGCATCTTTCTCCTACAGAACAGTGGGCTCGTTTGACAGCCTACCTTCTAGGTAGTAGCAGAGTTTAATCACTGTATCATCAGGGTGGCTCTCTGTAAACACAGTTCTATCCAGGCCTAAAGTACTGCTGTCAGAATCAAAGACATGCATGGCAAAATGAGGGAGGGAAAAAACCCAACCCAATACCTTTAGAGAATTTACATTTGTGTTCCATACCCTTTGACTAATTGATATACTTGCTTCTAGAAAAGCAAATATGACTAAACACTATTAACAGGAAAATATGAAGTAGACTATAGGTAAATCATGTAAGTTAGACAACAGAAAACTTTCTGCTACTTTCTAACAATATACACCATGATTCGCACTTGTTTGTCGCCTGAGACTCATAGCTGCCCTATGTACAACAGCCCTAAACTCTGCCCTATCCTGTGTCAATCTCACTGTCTCTGAAACATCCACCCCGATAACCCAGCCACTGAAGCAATCCGTCTTCTCGAGGGTTTTCCTCTCTTGCACTGTCCCTCCACCCTCCCAAGCTTAACATTCTTCTCTAAGCACTGGTCCCTTCTTGCAACATGTTCAAAGCATGTCAGACGAAGCTTCATAATCCTTGCCTCCAAGGAGCAGCCTGGTCTCACCCACTCTAGAACAAACCTGGTGGTTCTCCTACTAGTCCATGGTATATTCAATACTCTTCTCCAGCACCACAGCTCAAAGGCTCCAATTCTCTTTCTATTATCCTTAGTCATTGTCTAGCTCTCTGATGATAGCAAGTAACTGCAAAGACTATGGCCTGGATCAGGTGCACCTTAGTCTCCAGAGTGACACTGTTGCTCTTCAGTCCTTTGGCAAAGTCTCTGACTGCAGATTTTAGTGATTAATAATCACAAATAGGCTCTTTTAATTATTTTTGTCTGGCATGTACAACATCTGTCCTTTCAGAGACTGTAGTTGAACTTGATTACAAAGAAATTTTTAAAATTCTATAACAAATAAACTTTTAAAATTAAAAAAGAAAGTATTTTTTTCCTTTATCCCTGCTCTCTTTTCGTCTTCTGGAAATCTCACTGTGGATAACTTGATGCTGGTGCATTGGTTACTCAGGTCTCAATTTTCCTCTCAATATTTTATATATTTACCAGCTTTCTGAAAGAATTTCCACATTCGTCTCTTATCAACTCAGCTCTCTGCATTATGCAATCTGCTGTAGGACTGCCATCATGTTTTCCAAGGTTGTTAAAATGCTACATTAAGATGTTGTTTCTGCTTGACGGTCGGCTCCAGAAATAATTATGCCTCAAATTTCATTAGATGACCAATTAAGACATTCAATTCCTGGAACCTTTCTTCACTTAAATTGCTAATTTTTCATCTGTGTGATCATTTTTCTCTTTGTGAATGTTTAGTAAGAATAGATCTGTGTAGTATTTGAGCTTAAATAGATGCTGCAGATTCTGTGCGGTCATGCTCAGCTGGGACAGGAGGGGTTGTCTAGGTCAACTGGAGTTTCCATTTATTTAATCAGGGATCCAGAATCGGAGGAAGAAAGAAAGGAAACTTTTATGTCACAAAAAATAATATTGATAGCTCTCACTTTGCTTTCTGTGTTAGATGTGGCACATGGACAGCATTCCTAATTGGCACTGTTGTCAGGAAACTCTGCAGAGTACTGAGAAGGAACGATGTCGGTCTAGAGACTAAGGTGCGCCGGATCCAGACCATGGTCTTTGCAATTACTTACTATGCATCAGAGAGCTGGACAATGATTAAGGATGACAGATTAATCGATGCCTTTGAGTTGTGGTGCTAAAGAAGAATCCTGAACATACCATGGACCACCAAGAAAACAAAGAAGTCTGTCTTTGAGACGGTGAAATCAAGTTTCTCCTTGGAGGCTAGACTTTTGGAGCTCCATCTCACATACTTTGGGCACGTGGCCAGAAGGGACCAGTCCTTGGAGAAGGACATCATGCTCAGAAGGTGGAGGGACAGCGCAGGAGAGGAAGAGCTCAGATGAAATGGATACAGTAACTAGGGTAATGGGGGTAAGTGTGTCAGAATCATGAGACAGGCCCAGGACAGGGCAGGGTTCCGAGCTGCTTTACACAGGGTCGCTGTCACAAGTAACTCACAGGAACATAATTAACAGTTGTTATGTGCCATCGAGTCGCTTGCGACTCACAGCGACCCTATGTACATGAGCCCTCAACGCCATTCTATCCTGTGCCAACCTCGCCGTCTCTCACTCATTCCCACCACTCCACTCACAGAATTGATCCATCTCATCGAAGGTCTTCCTCTCCTGCACCGCCCCTCCACTCTCCCAAACATGATGTCCCTCTCCAAGGACCAGTCCCTCCTTGCAACATGCCCAAAGTATGTCAGATAAAGCTTCAGAATCCTTGACTTCAAGGAGCATTCTGGCTTCACCTTCTCCAGGACAAATCTGTTTGTTCTCCTAGAAGTCCACGGTATACTCAATACTCTTCTCCAGCACCACAGCTCAAAGGTATCAATTCTCTTTCTATCATCCCTAGTCACTGTCCAATTCTCTGATGCATAGCACACAATTGTGAAGACTACAGCCCAGACCAGTAGCACTATCTATCAATTTGGATCCAACTCATGGCTGACCCTCCAGAGGTTTATCAGAGGCAGTAAATTGCACAGGAATAGACTGTCCATCTTCTGTGGGGCAGTTAGTGGATTCAGACCACATACCTTTGAGTTGACAGTGCATTTCCTTACCACTAAGCCACCAGAGCTCCCTAATATCCGCTATTGTTGCTTATCATGCAGTTGAATTGGAACCAATCCATACCTGATCCTCCAGGTTTTCAGAGGCAGTTAATGGCATGGGAAAAGGTTGCCCATCTTTCACTCATGGGGCAGCTGGTGGATTCAAACCTCTACCTTTGGGTGGCTAGGGTTAACTCCTTTTCACTAAGCTACCAGAGCTCCCTTAATATCACTAGGATCCAAATATTAAGTATCTGAACTTGAGTGGACATGCTCTCAGGATCAAATAGTTACATTCCATAGCAGGAGATTTGGCACCTTTTGAATTATTTACACTACTAGAACTTAATCTAGACTTTTTCCTCCCCCCTCTGATCCTCCTGAATATTCACAGCATTTACCTTTAAGGGTTTATGGAGCAGTGCTGCTGCTAACACTCTCCATTAAGAGAAGTGGCTGTTGATGGAGTAGAAGGGTAAGGAGTCACTCTCCACACCTATTCTTTTTTTTCCCTACACACACTTGTGGTTTACATGAGAGAAACTGTAAATTGGTAATTCTCACTCTCAATCTTACTTATAAAACTAGAAAATACTTTAAGAATTCCTTCAAGCTTCTTATAGGTAGATGGGCTGTGGTTTCTACCATGGATAGAGATTTTACCAAAAAGTACATGTATGTGTATGTATGTGTGTGTGTGTGTGTGTAGATAAAGACAGAGTTGTTGTTAGGGGTTGTAGAACCAAGAACAACTCACAGGGACCCTACCAACACAGATCTGAACTGTGCCCTGTCCGTGCCATCCTCACCATCTCTGACATACTTAACCTCATTGTTACAGTCACTGTCAAGCCCTGATATATTTATACGATATTGCTCTTTTTAAATGGAGAATTATATGAAAACGGAAGAGAGTAGAAAGTGGAAGATTCAGGATACCATTTGGAAATACTGTCTACAGATTGTTTAAAAATAAAAAGCAAACATACAAATAATGATTCAATAAGGTGTGTTTTTAAAAAAAATTGTTATGTAAAAATATGTAATGAAATTACATTCTGTGAAGGCATTTATATTTGTTCTATTTAATCAACACCTAGGTAATATGATACATTCTATATTCTAGAAATGATAGAATACATGACGCAACCTTCCCATGTGTAAATCATTAATTAAAACACTCCACTTTTCAAGCAAGTGAGTCTTCAAAATGTACCCATATAGAGAAAAAACATCTCTCTTTCTTCATGGAAAACTTTACTGGACGGTTGGTTTGAAAATCTTAAAGTAACTAATTTATAGGAAAAGTTAAAAATAATGTGATTTTTTTCTGAAGATTAAACAACAACAAAAAAAACATACCTCACCTCTCATCTTAGGAAGCTCTAGTGGCCTAGTGATAAGGAGCTGTGCTGTAACCCAAAGGTACGCAGTTTGAAACCTCCAGCTGCCCTGTGGGAGAAAGACGGGCAATTTTCTTCCTGGTTGACTTACAACCTTTGAAAACCTGCTGGAGAGTCAACTATGAGTCGGTTCTGACTCAACGGTACATCATAACAATAACAACAACATTACTATTCATATTAATATTTCTGGAATATAGCATTGAAGGAAATAGAAATTGTTTTTCCTTAGTTTTCTTGAATATACAAGGCATCTTGAAATTAATGTTGGTTGTTACACATAAGCCACAACTAAATTTAATAAAATAGCACTTTCATTATGAAAAATATTTTAATTAGAAATGTTCAAATTTTGCAATAAACATGGAAAATAAATCATCAGATTATAATTCAAAGTAGTGGTTCATAAATGTCACATTTAAGTGTAAAATTCTATATGCCCTTTCTCAAAAATATACAATGAATATTCAAAGAAAATGCTTAGCATTTATAAGCTAGAAATACAGAAAATATACTAAAACTCGAAAAACAAAATTACACACTTGAAGCTACAGGTATCACTGTGTAATTAGTATATTTTAAAGCCATTTTGGTAAGTAAAAAGACAAAACACCACATTGAGATTTCCCTATCAATATTCTCAATCACTATGTAGATTTCTTTCTTTCTTTTTTGTTTTTTCCAGGAAACTCATCAATCTTCTACCATACTCCTGCTTTCGAACTCTGGTTTCCGCTACTTTCAAAAAACATGAAGTCCTAGATAAAAACAAATATACAGAAATGAGTTTTCAGCAATAAAATAGAAATCAAGTCTCACATGCAGAAATACTAATGAGATTTGATGAAACACTAACAAACTTTGAAACAAAAACCTGCCATAATTAAATTCCAGATATACAAATTGTTACACACACCTATAGTTTTCCGTGTTATTATAAAAAGCTATCATTCTATATCTTTTTCCATTGTCTAATTCCTTTATCCTATCACAAAGAAATAATTTAGTCTTCACCATCAGTCTTGGGTTATTATAATTTTTATCTATTTTGAATCCACTTAAAACTACTGATCTTTTGCCTTAGTTTTTGGTGTGTCTGTTCATAGTTATATTAACAAGTGTTCCTGTATGCTTATGGATAGTATTCTTATTCATTCACTCACAGCACTGTACTTCAGGACAGATGCTGAAATGTTCTTTTTGACCATGAATGCAAAACTATTCTTCCTCAGTTTGCCCTTCCTGCCCTAGTTGTCATAGTTGTCGTCATGCGCCACTGAGCTGGAACTGACTCCTAGTTGACCCTCGAGCAGGTGTCAGAGGCCATAAATTGCATGAGAGGTGATTGCTCATCTTTGTCCTGGGAGCTCCTGGTGGATTTGAACTGCCTATGTTGGGGTTGGCCGTGCAGCTAGGCCACCAGAGCTTCCTCTTGGCATAACAGAGCACATGACTGTCTGATTCAAAGTGGCCAAAACCAGTTCATCGCAGCTTACTAACGCCTAGGATATCGATTTTAAGATGTTCCACTTAATTTCTGACAATTTCAAAATCTTCTTCGATTCATACTTTTTTTGGTTTTGTTATAATATTCAAACTCTAGGTTTTTTGTTATTTTTTAATTTATATTGGTTTGCTTACAAACTTTGTATACACTTTGTTTCACACTATCCTTCATTCACATTGTGTTTCATCTAATCATTTCCATTCATTATGGCTTATAAAATTAATCATCACTGAATTCATCATTGCCTCGTCTTTCCAGATCCCCTCTGGATCTTTCCCATTTCCTTTAGTCACCCGTCCCTCCAACCACCAAATTGTACGACCCTATGATTTCCCCCCACCCGTCCTCACCCCTCTGCCCTCCGCCCCCACCCTTGGATCCTCATACACGTTTTACTAGTTATCTATTTCTACAATAATGGTCTTATGCCTTTATTTGTCCTTATGGGACTGAGTTGGTTCACTCAGCGTAATGCTCTCCAGCCCTCTCCCAAGTTATGTAGTAATTTTTGAAATCATTACTAGATTCATACTTCTTAAATTCCATGTTCCAATAATGAATGGATATTTGCAGCTGGTTCCCTTAATTTTTAAAATGTCTTCCATTCTGAGAGATGCTATTTTTTATACTAATTTAGCAATGTGCCTTTGTTATTCATAGGATTTTCAAAGGTATGTTGTTTCTGAAGTGGATGACCAATCTTGTCTCATAATCTGTCTTAGTTTGGAAGTTCAGCTGAATCCTGTCCACCATGGGTGAACCTGTTAATATTTTAGATACTGGTATAGCTTCTAGCATTATACCAACACATAAGTTTCCCAATACAACAAACTGACCAACAAGTGCTGTACCCTAAAGAGCAAATGTAAACAAGCAAGCATATCTATATCCATCCATCCATCCAAACTATAAAACAAACAGCAACATGCAAGAAGTCACTCCCTACAATACAGTAAATGGTAAGTGTTGTCCCCATAAGTGCAAACCATAAAACAAGCAAGCAGACAAACACCATAAAACAAAATGCATGTTAAGGGAAATGCATGTAGTGGGTGTTTCAAGTGGTGGTCACCTAGCCTGGTTTCTGCTTGGTTTAGAGGAGCCTATGTTAATCAGCTTGGCTGAAGATAAGAGTCTTTGCCAATTCAGAGGATGAATGCCTCCTAGTTAGATGAGATGCCACCTCTAATTTCAGGGTTGATTGCAGGCAAGGAGTGGAATTGACTGCAGGTTCTAGGATGAATGTTCTTAAGAGTTTCTTGTTCCAGAACCAGGCTGGTGTGGCCAATAGCCTGAGGAAGAGTTGAGTTTTACTAGGGGGTAGAGAGATGCGAGGATCAGGGGGAATGTAGGAAATTGGAGGGTGGTAGTAGGAAACACTGCAAACCAAGTAGTAAATAGTCAGGGAAGGTTGGCCACAGGGACCAAGGCTGGAGACTGGACCTTTTCCACTGCTCAGATCCCATTGCTGCTGCTGGCCCTGACCTGGGTTTTCACACCACATGGATATCATCTGTTCCAGATGGCTATGCTTCAATGTTTACAGTTCTGTGTTCTGTTGCTCTTTTATTTGATGCTTCAAGTTAGTTTCACAAACTGCCCAGCTACTGTGAATACTGCTGCTACCTTCGGCTTGGGTTGCCTAGTTCCCAAGCCTCCTGAATAAGCTGTTTAAGATGATAGTGTTGTGCTGTTTACAATTCTGTGTTCTACTCTCTCCTTATCTGATGTTTTCAATTCAGTCTTTCAGTTAGTATTCGAAGTACTTCTTTCTTTTCATTTTATTATAAAAATTATCTCATTATTAAAGCCTAAAATCCAATACCCTCTTCTTTTATCTGTAATTCTTTCAAGGAGCTGTGGTGGCTTAATCTGTAAAGTTGATCACTCACTCACAGGCAGCTCAAATATACTAACAGTTTAAGGGAGAAAGATGAGCAAACTTTCCAAGACATTTGTGGCTGGGTTATTGTTGTTCTTTTCAATCTATGGAATAGTCAGTACTCTTTTTCAACATCACAACTCAATGTTGCCTTTTCTTTACTTTTTCTTACTATTTTTCCAACTTTCAAATGCACAGGAAGCAACCAAAAATACTACGGCTTTTGTTAGGCACACCTTAGCTCTTCACTTTGGAAAGGTCCTCAACAGTAGATTTTCTCAATGCAACATGTCTTTGATATCTTGCTTGCTGCTACTGTAGGTCTAGATTGTGGATCAATGTCAAATGAAATTGTGAGAAACTTTAGTCCATCAATCATTATTGTAACTACTGGCTCACTGGTGAGGATTTTTGCTTTCTTGATATTGACATGTAACACACAGGCAGTAGCCTTTGATCTTATCAAGTGTTTCAAGTTCTCTTTACTTATATAAACTTGGGTCATCCGCATAATGCAGGTTGTTGATGAGACTTGCTCTGATCCAGATGCCACATTCTTCTTCATATAGTTCAGCTTCTCAAATGATGTGTTCAGTATACATTGAATAGATATGGAGAAGGAATACAGCCCCGAGGCACACCTTTCTTGACTTTAAACCATGCAGTGTTTGTTCCCTTATTCTATTCAGACAACAGCTTCTTTGTCTCTGTATAGGTTTGGAATGACTGTAATTTACTGTTGTGAGATTCTCATTCTTCACAATGTTAACGATTTCTTATGATCCACAAACACCTTTGTATAGCCAATAAATCACAAGTAAACATCTTTCTAGTATTCTCTGCCTTACACAATGATCCATCTGACATTAGCATGATAGCTCTCATGCCAAGGCCTCTTCTGAATCCAGCTTAAATTTGATAGTTCTTTAGTGATGTTCAATTCTAGCCATTTTTAAATAATGTTCAACAAGATTTTACTTGCTTGTGATATTAATGATATTGTCTGGTTATTCCCACACTGTTTTCTCTTTCGTCTCTTTAAAGTAATAGAATTCTTCTCTTTTCCTTGTGATTTAATTGAAGAGGCTGAATTATTTTTGCTGTAAAATGTTTCTGTTTGGTCTCCTTAATCTATCACTTATTGCAGTCAAGTGAAGCTGATTTACAACTGGCCTTCCGTTGTCTTTCCAAGGCTGTAGAGGAGTCGACTACCCTCCTTTCACCTTTGTGGAGTTGAACTGCTAGAGAAAGGAACTGGAAATGGAACTCCCAGTGCCACCAAAAATATGACACCACCGGGTTTCCTTCATGGACTCAATTTCACTAACTGAAATTAAGTTAGAAGTGACTCTTAAGTAACCCTCCAGCAGATTTTCAGAAGCTGTAAATTGCATGGGAAGAGACTGCCTATCACTTGTGGATTTGGGTGAGCAGCATTTAAGATATTTTTCTATGGTTCTGCACCTAAGTTTCACATGGGAATGACATTGAGCTTGAAAACATATCAATCACCCCATCTCTGGAGATTCTGATGTCATAAATCAGGGGGCAGTCTGAACATTTTGGAAAGCTTCTCCGTTGTAGTGTAAGCCAGCTCTGAGAGCCATTGTTCCATTACAGGAGTCTTCCACTTCTCTATAAGGGCTCCATAGCACACTTACCTAACAAGTTTCTTATTTTTATTTATTTTTTATTTTATTATTTTTGTGTGTGTGTACCATCAAATCAGATCTGACTGGTACAGGAGGAGATTGTCCCTCCTTCCTTGGCATCTGGTGGATTCGAACCACGTACCTCTGGGATTGCAGTGCAGCTTCCTGCCACTAGGCCACCAGAACAAGTTATGCTAATGAGGTAACTCTGGCAGGGGTTGGCCATGCCACAAGGCCCACCCCTTTTTTATACACTTATCTCCATGGGCCAATCAAGCCTACATGATAAGCACCCAATGAAGACTCTAGGCAAGGAAGCTTCATAGGCTTCCTGGTTACTGAGAAACTTCAATGCATAAAGAAGGGTAGCAGATTCATTTTGGAACATGAAAAACTGGTGATAGAATATATGTGCCTTTTCTTTTATAGCTTATTTTGCTGCCAAAAAAAAATATAATCATAAAGTTGGTAAGTCAACTAGGTAAACTATTTCAATCCAAGGAAGTACTAGAAAGCTAAGCTGAAGGCTGGTATCCCAAGAGGGGAAGGGAATCATTATACTTTTAGCCACAGTTTGTAAGCAGAAATGTATCAAAGCACCAGCCATAGTTTTTTCAACAAATATTTGATTGACCTGGCTGTCTTCTTAACATATTAATTAGGTCTTTCTAGGGAGCTCTGGTTGTCTAGTGGCAAAAAGCTGCTCTGCAATCCTTGAAGTTACACAGGTTCAAATCCACTAGCTGCTCCACAGGACAAGGATGGACAATCTCATCCTGTGTGGTTAAAACTGCCTATGAAAACCCACTGGAGGGTGAGCTATGGGGCAGTTCTGACTCCATGGTACACAACAGCAACAACAACAACAAAAACCACAACAACTTGCTACAGGGAATTTTATAGACCTGGAAGAGAGAATCGACAGCATGAGCATTAAGTGGCATTTCAAAGCTAGACTTAAGTGGTGACTTCTGTATAGGATGCAAATACTTAAGGTCATGAGCAGACTTACAATGAGAAAACATGCACCCAGCAACACAGCTTTTATTTTAACATCCAGGTCTAAAGGAAACTGGATCCCAAAATTATCCTTATCTGTAAATGCCTCTTTCAAAAGTCCAGTCCATTGTTTTGAAATCTTGCCGACCACAGCTTGTTCATCAAGGGATTTAACCTAAGTTGGAAAAAGAAAACACAGTCTGAAGCAATTCCAGAAAACTAATAACAAACTATATTCAAAGTTCTAGTAAAGTGAAATAAATATATTATGTCCCAGATGGAACCAGGAACACATTTTCTTCCATCAGGATGTACAGAGGTTCCTGGATCTGCTCACAATTAAAAACAAACAAAAAAAACCACCAAAAACCAACCAATGAAAACTAATCCCAAAAAACCACAATAAAAACCTAACTAGCCTCTTTGATTAATAGAGTGCTTACAAAAAGATGATTTTCTGAATTATTTATAATCACAGACATAAATAATTTGAGGCTATCTAAGCCAACATTTATGCATAAAAGTAACATCTGGTTCGCTTTGTTGACCATGAGTAAAATAGACTAGCTTGAAGCCTGACCTAGTTCACCAGACTTATTTTCAAAGGGAATCAATAATTCAAGAAAAAAAATTCTAAAACTCACCCCATTATTTGAAATCTTGAAAAATTTGGGCTATAAGATTGGACTACTTGGTGGGAAATTACTGTGGTGATTCCATGAAGTATATACAGCAATATATTTTGGTTTCTGAGGAGGCCTGAAGAACTTGTGGCAGAGGGTTGAGGACTGCAGCCTCCAATATGGATTGAGGCTCAATGTCAAGAAGACAAAGATTCTCACCACTGGGCCAACTGGTAGCATCAGGATGGATGATGAAGAGATTGAGATTGTTCACAACTTCAGTTTGCTTGGCTCCACACTCAACACTTTCGGCACTTGTAGCGAGGAAATTAAAAGATGTATTGTGATGGGAAAGTCTGCTGTTAGGGACCTCTCCAAAGTACTGAAGAACAATGGTGTCTCTCTGGAGACTAAGGTGTGTCTGATACAGGCCATGGTCTTTGCTATCACTTGTTATGCATCAGAGAGTTGGACAATGACCAAGGAGGATAGAAGGAGAATTGATGCCTTTGAGCTGTGGTGCTGGAGAAGAGTATTGAGGGTACCATGGACTGCTAGGAAAACAAACAGATTCATCCTGGAAAGGGTCAAACTGGGTGGCTCCTTGGAGGCAAAGATTCTGAGGCTCCGTCTAACATACTTTGGACATGTTGTAAGGAGAGACAGGTCCTTAGAGAAGGACATAATGCTTGGGAGGGTGGAGGGACAGCACAGGAGGGGAAGGCCCTCTATGAGGTGGATTGATTCAGTGACTGGGATAATTGGGATGGGAGTGTCAGAGACAGTATGATTGGCACAGGACAGAGCAGAGTTTAGGGCTGTTGTACATAGGGTCGCTATGAGTCACAAGTGACTTGACAGCACATAACAACAACAACAATGACCTCTTTTAATACAAAGATATATACGAGAGAGAAGCATATTTATATGTTCAATACTGTCTTCCACTTTCTTTGCTTCATTGTAGGAAGCATTACCTTTTTTGTAGAAGCCCACAGCACGGCAGACCTCCTGAGAAGGGCACAGAGCACTGGAAGCCAGACTAAAAATGGATTCACATACTTTGATATTAAATTCAGATGGCAATATTCAAGGCTTAAAATGGACAACTGCAGCCAATACAAGTGATTCAACAGAAAATTTTCTCTTTCTACTTTTATTTCCATTGGAAATCACCACATTTCAATGCTGGATATTTTGCTTGGATTTAAGTGACTGTGTAGCCAGCTGTTTTCTTCCATTTCAAGAAATCAAGAAATATTAACATTAATCAGAACAAAGCCTGTCTCTCTGACTCACCCTATTTTCTCCCTTTAAAATTATCAGTGCTTAATATTGGGGAATAATTTATGTTTATAAAAAATATGAGTACCTGGATATTTATTTAATATATCTGTAACATCTTAAAAAATGGCACACTTTATTGTACTCAGAAAACAATGCCTCTAACCATTATCCTGTATCTTACCTCAAAGTCAACATCTGCACAGCATCTACATGTGATACAGGGGCCAGTAATTTTCAGTACAGTCTCTTTTCTCTCATTTTGGATTTTAAACTTTGGTAGACAGGGGTGCCAAGTTTGAATAACATAACCGACTGGAACACCAGGAGGAGCCTGGACTTCTATCTGCAAAATGGAGGAGTAAGATCCCACATAAATCTACACATATCTTTGTTTATCAATGTATATTGTTATTATTATAAGTAAGAATAGCAACATATTTTCACATTTCTTTTCTCAGCTTATTTTTATGTGTTGTTACTGTTATGTGCCATCAAGTCATGCACGACCCATATGGACCTTACGTACAGTAATTCTGAACCCTGCCCTGTCCTGAGCCAGTCTCACTAATTCCAAAACACCAACTCACACTGCCCGTTACTGTATCAGTCCTTCTCATCCAGGGTTTCCTCTCCTATGCGGTTTCTTTACCCTTCCAAGTATGATGTCCTTCTCCAAGGACTGGTTCCTCTTAGTCACATGTCCAAAGTATGTGAGACAGAGCTTGAAAATCCTAGTCTCCAAGGAGAAACTTGGTTTCACTGTTTCCAAGACAGATCTATTTGCTTTCTTGGCAGTGCATGGTATGTTCATAACTCTTCTCTAGCACCATAATTTGAAGGCATCTATTCTGCTGTCATCCTTAGTCACTGTCCAACTATCTGATGCACAGCAAGTAATTGCGAAGACCATGGCCTTGATAAGGCCCACCTTAGTCTCTTGACTGACATCATTGCTTGTCAGTACTCTGGAGAGGTAACTGACAACAGATTTTCCCAATGCAATTTGTCTTTTGATTTCCTAAATGCTGGTGTTAAGAATTTTGAGTGTGCAGCCAAGAAAGATGTAATTGTTAACATCCTCAATCTCTTCTCCATCGATTATGGTGCTAATTGGCCCACTCGTGAGAACCTTTGTCTTCTTGATGTTGATCTTGAATCCATATTGAAGACTACAGTCCTTAACCTTCTGGAGCAAGCATATTTACACTTATTTTCACAGCTTATTAGACTGAATACTTTCTAAGTTCCAGGTGCTACATATGCATTAAATTACTATAGAAAATTTAGAACAAAGCAAAACAATCCTTTAAAGGCAGTGGGATGTGTTTGAACATAACACTGATCATTGGCACACCTGTCAAATTTAAGTGACATTAGTGCTATAAGAGAAAGGGTACATATTTTGGGCGTCATGGTTGCTGTTTATTAGCTATGTGACCTAGACAGTATTCCAAATACCCCATCTGTAAATGAAGATTTACTCATATCATTGAACCTTTTCAAAGATCAAGTGTTATAATGTGGTATGCTAATGTGCTTTTCCAACTGTAGAGCTACCTACAAATAGTAAAGTATCAAAGTTTTATCTCAAATATTGTTACGTTTTACCTAAAAGCCATAGAAATCAATGTTCTTCCATTGAAATATAACTTCAATATCATGTCTTAGCTGTCAAATAGTCCATGTTTTCAGGTAAAGGCTCACCTTTCTTCTCTCTACCCTGGTTTCCCCTCTGACACCCTATTCTCTAGGCATGGGCTGTCAACCAATAAGTGCTAATAAAAATAGCTTATCTTTTTTTTTTAAAAAAAATTTATTGATATTTTAATGAAAGTTTACAGAAAACTTGGATTTCCATTCATTCATTGCTGCACATTTTCCTCCCTAACACCGCCAACAGTTTGCCTTTCTCTTTAACAAAATTCTTTCATTGTTGCACAATTTCTTCCCTCCCTCCCACATGTACTATCATTTAGAGGTACTCCTCTTACAGAAGAAGATCTAAACATACACACTTTTTGAAAATGGGGGGGAAAGTATCATAGTCGTTGAGGTTTTTAGTGAAGAGCGCTTTCAAGTTCACCGTTTAACAGGCTGGACAACAAAACAAAATTACAGGATGAACCTGTCCATTTATCTGGAAGTGGTACTCTATGATACTCTCAATGGCAATGTTTCCTTCTGGGACCAGGTCTTTTTATGGTTATTGCTGTTAAGGAACTTGATCAACATATTCTGTACTTGTGGCTTTCAACCCCATGATGAACACAACTTGAGAATATGGGGCTTAAAGTTCATTGCTTTTACCTTCCTGCCTAAAGAATGGGTCATTATTTTCTTTAAATGTCATTATTTTAAAAACTTTGTTTTATACTCGTTTACTCACAAAGTTCATATACATTGTTTTTTACATTGGATCTTCCCTCCTTCCACCCATCAAATTGTGTGACCCTATGATTTAGCACCTCTTCTTCCCTCCCTGGATCCTCATACTTGATCTACATAATGATCTTATACAGTATTTGCCTTTACGAGACTGAGTTAGTTCACTTAGCATCTACATTAGTGTTCATAACAGTATTACTTATGTTATGCAAGAACATACAAGCAGCCCAAATGCCCAACCACAATGGAATGGATTGAGAAATTGATACATTCCCACATTGGAATACTATGCAGCACTCAGGAGCGATGATTTTCTAAATTAGTACTTAACATGGGAGGGACTGGAGGTCATTATGCTTTAAATGTCATTTACTTATATAACTTCATTGAAAGGATTCAGACATACTTTACAAATTCCTGGGGTATTTAATTACTGACCTCTTGAAGGCAGGTAGGGCAACAACAGGTGTCACATCTTAATGGTCTCTCTAGTGTTATGACTTCTCGTCCAGTATTATCAATAATATTCAGGACAAATGGCCTAGCAGGTCCACAGCAATTTCGAACACAACAGTTACTATCTTCCACAGCAAAGTAAACTCTCTGTCCAAGACTATTTTTAATTTCATATTTGTTTCTGGTTTCAAAACCTGTTATAACTGAAAACAGAAAATTGTACTCAGCATCCAAAAAAAAAATGAGAATTTTTTTAACATATAAAATCTACTAGTACAATTTTAGATGACATTCTGAAGATGTTTAGAGATGGTCCAGACTGAGAAGCGAGTATTAAAGTTTAGAGAAAATAGAAGTCTCCATGTGAGAAAAAAACAACCCCCCCCAAAAGCACAAACCCCTCCCAATCAAGCAAATCAACAAGCAACAAAACAACCCAACAACCTAAAAAAGAAAAAACAAAACAAAGTAAAAACAATACCACCAACTCTTATCTTCTTAACTCTATAAACTCATGCCAAAAAAAAAAAAAAAAAGACAGTTGTTACAAGCCTGCAGGTGAACATGGCCATACTCAATTTATGGAGAAAATGCCCCCTAGTTCAAAATACAGTAAAACCTTTGAAACCTAGATTCTGTGTAAGTTAGGAAACTGTCAGAGGAGGATGCAAACATTTTCCACTAATAAAGAATAATAGAAAAGTGGCAGACGTACCATGAAAGGCAGCTCTCACGGTACTTTATGAAGAGTCATGATCAGTCTGCTCAACTGTGAAGGGATATATAGGATATGCCTGTATTTATGCTTTGCAAATATTTTATCTAATGAACTGGTTTTGGAAGGCTATTTTATAAAAAAATTTAAAAAAATTTATAGACTGTCCTTGAAGGAAGATAATGTGAGGGTTTACTCTCACACACATAGTAAAATATGTGGGGAAGGGAGTGTGGAAACAGAATTGAATGAGAATAGCAGATAAGGTTCAAGGGGTGCTTATTTTGCTCAGCATTAACTATTCACAAGTGAGAGAGAGATGAGTTTGTGATAAAATGTACTTTACAACCAAAGCTACAACTCACAAACTATCCAGACCACCCCTATCTATCGGGGCATCCCCATCTTTGAGTCTGGAGAAGGGTGCAGCAGAGCTGATCTGACACAGGATCTTAGCATAGTACTTCCTATATTAATTTATATTAATTGCTTACAAGAAAGAAGACCCAAGGGTTTGAAGCCAAGAAGAGAAAGATCTATAGCCCTCAATAACTTGACCCTGCTTATAATGCTCAAAACTATATCAACTTTTAATTTGGAACAACAACAACAAAACCTCCAAGAGTTGAAAGTAATTATAAAATTAGACAGTAGTAAATCTTAAAAGTATATATTTTATAACAAAGATATATACTTTGCAAATATATACAAAGCTTGTAAATCTAAAAATTATAAACTCATAACACATTTGATAATCTCAAAAGCATATATTAAAATAACATTTTTTTGAAAATACATAGTATAAATTAAGAGCGAAAAAGAAGCCCTTTTTGGAGAATATTTAGAGAATACAAACAAAGCAAGAATATAAGAGATCCTTATTATTTGTCAAGCAATCTCAGTGCTGTAAATATGTTAACCGCATACATTATTCAGTTGTGCAATTCAGATTTAAATTCTACCAGTAGAAAGGACTTGATAGAGAGGTTAAGCTGAATTTAACTAATGAAGCATAAAAATTAGCTCAAGTTTTCACTAAATCCTTTATACTTAGGAGGTTCATCAAACTGTTGAGGTTCTTTTTCCCCTGACAATGGACCTCACTGACTTCCTGTTTCTTGTGATCAAAGTAAGCAGGAACTCCAGACCTGCTGATTAGCATTTTCCAATAGTGCTGTGACTTTGCAATCAACCTAGTTAATCAACAGCCACTGGGTAAATATTTATAGGGTGTGTCCAGACACTCAAGAGAATGCATGAGCAGAAATGAGAATTTCTCAAAAATCCCCACTTGGATTTTGGATTTGCTGGCTCCCCCAACTCCATCGTAACAGTTTGCACCTGGCTTGGAGATTTGGAGTTAGTCAGTTCCTGCTACCGTATCAAGAAGAGTCTCCAGCCTACCACACTGATTTAGGGGTTTGGGACGTGCCAGCCACAACTGCACAAGCGATTTCTTTAAAATAAATGTCTGTCTGTCTGTCTATCTCTCTCTCTCTCTCTCTCTCTCTCTCTCTCTCTCTCTCTCTATCTCTCTCTCTCTCTCTCTCGCTTGGCTCCTGTATAGAACCCAGCCTGAGACACTAAGTTAGTCTATCTGATGAGGAAAGATGTTCATTTGTAATGAAGCTTTACTATTTGACCCAGAATTTAAAAAGTAAATAGCTACTCTTCTCCATCATTTAAGTATCACAAAGAGGTTTACACTTCTCATATTGGGAAAAGATGTCACTGATTTCTTCAGCATAAACTTCTTATCTTTTGAGAAATATGGTTAATTAAAAAATACATACCTTCCAGTATTTCCATTTTTTGATGAACCAGGAGCTGATCTATCTATTAAAGAAAAAAAATTGAGCTGTAAGAATATGTTATATGAACGTTACAAAAAATGAAACAGTAGTGTCCATATTTTTACATCTTTAAAAAGTATGTAAAGTCAGTATTAATATATGCCAATACATTTTCCAGTATGAAACTAAAGTCAAATAGATTTTAGTATAAAAAAAAAGTCTACTGAAAGTATTAAAAACAATTATGCTTTTATCATTATTGTGAGCATAGTTATATCAAATGAATTTGACTTTCACTGGAATTACTATACAAATTAGACAACAATGTTCATCCATTAAGAAATATTAAGAACAATTTTTAACCATTTAAAGGAAATTTATTTCCCCTTGATATTTCAAAATGATTCTTTTTAAGTGAACTTGAGATAATCATTTGCCATAGCTTTTGCCTTCCCTTATGGATTTTACAGTTGACTTTTTAGAAAATGGAAGTCTGCCAACCCAAAGGCATGCGGTTCAAATCCACCAGCTGCTCTGTGGGAGAAAGATAGGTGGTCTTCTCTAGTGCTTCTCTGAAAACCTGCTGGAGGGTCAACCATGGGTCAGTTTAAATATGACAGTATATAACAACAAGGAACATTTGAAAACTTTTCTTGGAGACAAAAAGATATAATGCATGCTGCCCAAGTGGCACTGTGATTAACTGAAATAGCACAGTGAGCACAGGAGGCATTTATTTCATTTACTGAAAACAGATTTCATATGACAGGATGTTTGTGTACTACATGTGGAAATGATTTCATATTCAAACTTAACCTACCCGATTTTCCAACATTAAACAAATAGCAAACTTCTCATTGCTGACATAAATTATCACGTCATCATTCCCTTTACTGTCACGTTGATTGCAACGAGGGTGACCCTCCATTGGGTTTCTGAGGCTCTACGTCTTTATGAGAACAGTTTGCCTCATTTTTCTGCCTTAGAACAGCTGGTGGACTCTAGTGACGGGCCTTTCAGTTAGTAGCAAAACACTTAACCAACTCTGCCTCCAGTATTCCTCAAATGATCATGCAATACATCAAAATCCTGGATTCTCCCCATCTCCTCCTTATTGGTAACATTGATAAAGTTGGATCTTTCAAAGAGAAAAGACAAGATTTTAAAAGTTAAATCCTACTAAGAAGAATGCGGTAGATTTTAACCAAAATACTAACTTGTTTTGTTTTGGTATCACTATTGGCTCTCAAATCTAACTTTTAATGTTCTTTTCAAAGCTCAGGAAAAAAAATTCAGCCTGGAGACTTAAGAGCACAAGATTCAGAGCCAAGAGCCAAGTTCAGGATTAAGAAGTTAGTTCTACCTCCTTTTGCTGTTTAACTTTCAGCAAACTATTTCATTTCTCTGCACCTGTTTGCTTTTTTCTTTTTAAATGGTGATAATGATTACACTTAAACTTCATGGGCTTCCATAAGAATTGAATTAGTCATGCATGCACTATGCATTAGGCCTGAGAAATAGTGCTTCATAAACGAATCAACTGACATAGTGATAAGTAGCTGCACTGCCAACCCAAGGACACTCAGTTCAATCACATCAGATGCTCTGCAGGAGAAAAAGGAACACTCTCGTCCTGTGCAATTTACTGCCTCTGCAAACCCACTGAAGGGTTAGCTGAGTCAGGTTCAACTTGAGGATATACAAAAACAACAGCCAAAAGCAAACAAAGTGGTATTGTACTGAGTATGTATTTCAGATCATAGAAAAAATAATTTTCTAAGACACTTGTGCTTTAAAAGTGAACTGACCTAGATGAATTAGTGATATTTTAACACAGGAGAAAAAAAATGCCATTTCATTAATTTAGACTTTTATGAATTGTTGAGAGCTATCAAATCAGAACCGACTCAGCTGACCCTCCAGTGGGTTCGCAGAGGGAGTAAATCATACGGGAGAAGATTGGCCATCCTTCTTTAGTGCAGCAGTTGGTGGATTTGAACCGTGTGCCTCTTGGAATGTCAGTGCAGCTTCTTACCACTATGCCAATTGATTTCTTTATTAGGTCATTTGTTAGCCTGTAACAGGAGGCATGGTTTTATTTTTTTTATGACAATTTTTTGAATTTCAAATTACCTGAGTTAAATATTCTAATCCAGGTGGACAGTTCAATGGAGGTGGTGGTGCTGGCATCCATGGTACCACTGGAGGTCCACCTTGCTGATCGTACCCTGGTTGCTGCTGGACAGGAAATCCAGCTGGGCCAGCACAAGCATAGTCAGATGGTGGTGGAGTTGGGTAGCCAACCTGGGGGCCTGGGTAACCTGCATACCCTGGAGGTCCTAAAATACCAGCAAATGAAAGAATTCGTAATGTAATTATAACATGGAAGCATCAACTCTTCTATAATTACACAAGCTATCTTCAAACTGAACTATCATCTTAGAAATTCTGTTTTTAACTTTAATTCAAATTTTTATCTTTCAGTGATTTCTAATGACCTTATCAGTGGTTTTACACTCCTTTCTATTTTGAAAGGGCTGAACTGTGAATAAAATTGGTCCAAAATCTTATCCTTATTATTTAAAACCCAGAGAGAAAGTTAGCTGCTGCTGTTGTGCTATTGAGTCAGAACCAATTCATAGCTGACCCTTCAGTGAATTTTCAGAGGCTGTAAATTGGCACAGCAGGTGCCTATCAATCTATCTTTTTCCCAAGGAGCAACAGCTGGTGGAATTGAACTGCTTGCCTTTGGGTTGGCAGCCTTATTTATCACTAGGCTATTAGTCTAATAGCATCAGTGAAAAGGTATGAGAATTACGAATTAAAAGTTATTTCATAATTCAGTGAATTGATATGATACAATGCTAGAAGTGCTCACTTGTTTATACTATGAAATTCAGGAGATTGCAAGCTGACCAAATGAATGAAAGGGAAACGTATTTGTGCTCGATCTCCAAAAAAGTGATCCAACAGAATGTGGATATTTCTTGAACAAAATCATTAATATCACATGTAAATAAAATTTTCCTGAAGATAATTTAAAAATGACTGGAGCAGTCAATCAACAAAGAACTGCCACAATTCAGGCGGAATTCCTAACATTGCTAACACAGATCTTGACTGAAAGCAGAAAATACCAGAAATATGTTTACCTGTGTTTTACTAACTATGCAAAGGCATTTGACTGGAAGAATCATAACGAATTATGGATGCCACGCCAAAGAATAAGAATTCCAAACCCCTTAACTGTGCTCCCATGGAACCTATACAAAGAACAAGAGCCAGTCCTTTGAACAGAACAAGTAAGTACTGATTTGATGCAAGTCAAGAGAAGTGTGACTCACAATCAACACCCTTGGTAGCAGCAGTCAAGAAGTCAAAAGATGTATTGCATTGGACAAATCAGTCAAGGACTTTCCAAACCGCTAGAGAAAGATGTCAGCTTAAATATTCAGGAGTGTGGTGAGCCCTGGTGGCCTAGTGGCAAGAAGCTGCACTGCAATCCCAGAGGTGAGTGATTCGAAACCACCAGATGTGCTTGCTGGAGAAGGTGGGGGGACGGGACAAAATCCGATTTGATAATACACACAAAAATAATAATAAAAAAATTTGAAAAAAAGATTAAGGAGTGCCTGACAATATTATTTTCTATCACTTCCTATGCAGTTTCTCCTGGAAGTTGGAGAATAAAGGTGACAGAAGAAGAACCAATGCCTTCAAGTTGTCTTTTTGCAAAGAGTATTGCATATACATACCATGGACTGTTAAAAAAATAAAAGAAAGAAAAAGAAGAGAGACCAAATCTGTCTTGAAGATAGTGCAACCACAGTGCTTCTTAGAAGCAACAATGGTGAAACTTCTTCACACTTATATTTTCAGGATGAACCAGTCCTTGGAAAGAAACATCATTCTTGGAAAAATAGAGGGTCAGCAAAAGAAAAGAAGACCCTCAAGGAGGTAGATTGACATATTCACTACCAAAATGGAGTGAACACGACAGAGATCACAAGGACGGTGCAAGACAGGGTAAGGTTCAGAGCTGTTGTACCGAGGGTCACTATGAGTTCATAGTCGACATAAGGGCATCTAACAACATCATCACATGACTCAAAACCTCCAGAGATAAATACCTTAAATGTGCTTACTGTGGCACAATTTTTTGTACAGGGCAATAGAAGACTTCACTTTTAACCAGCTTTTAAAGGGTTTTAACTTATGACAGATCTTGAGTTTCATTTGCTATGTATATACTCACTAGTGCTTTATCAGTTTCTGTTTTTTTTTAATTAGCATCTCTCTTTCCCCCTGTACATTGAAAAATTCAAGAACTAGGCTGCTGAAAGAATTCCTTCACAAGATCTTAATAAAAAGCACTACCAAAATTCATCTCCTTTACACATTAATCCTTCAGGAATTATTAATAATTGATGGCATTTTATTTTTTTCTTTCAAGAAATGTTTTACCTTGGTATGGTCCTGTTGGGCCCTGAGAGAGGTTCCCAGCTGGCAAATTTGCTCTTGATTGTGAAGTACTCATTTGTACATCTGTAAAACAAAGAGTGATGAATACAGATTATATAAAATACACTAGAAGAAAAAATGTATTATTCTTAGGAAACATGCATTTATATGATCTTGGGTTGCACTGAAATCGAGAAAGTGGATTTTTCCCTTAACAAAATGTATCCTGTTATCAGAGCTAATTTGTAATAACCTCTTAAGCAAATTATCTTTTTTATTGGAGACATTTGAGTTACTCCAACTTTTCCTAGTTTTTAGTTACTCCTGATGAACATTCAATTGCATGTTTTAGATTTTGCTAGGATTTAAAGTAAGTTTGTTTCATAATTGCATAAGGATATTGAGGGAGCTCTGGTGTCCTAGTGGCAGGAAGGTGCGGTGCAATCCCGAAGGCACCCAGTTTGAATCCCACTAGCTGCTCCACTGGCAAAGGATGGGTAATTTCCGCCCATGCAATTAATTGCCTCTGAAAACCCACTGGAGGGTCAGCTAGGGGTTGTGTCCAACTCTACCATACTCAACAACAACACAGATTTTAAAGATGAGATAAATGAAATTAGTTGGATGTAGGGAGAGTGAACTCTCAACCCACTGCCATTGACTTTGAACTGCCTCATAGTTAACCCTCCTGTGGATTTTCAGCTGCTGAAAGTCACGCAGGAGACGTGTCCATCTTTCTCCCTTGGAGAAGCTGGTGGATTTGAACTGCAAGGGCAGCATCGCCTTTGCAGCAGCAGCATGACTCCTTTGTGGACTATAATTGTTGTTATAAGAACTCTTTACACGCGGAAGTATACATATGTACTAATTAATTCAACGGTCCAACCAACAGTGTGGCACTTTGCTTCCACCAGTCATCTGACGACAAAGACGGGCACTACCCTCATAAAGATTTAGAGTCCTGCCAACCTGAAGAGCCAGAACTGACTTGATAGCAGAGGTTTGAATGGCTCTTGAAGGTTAAACCATATTAAGTCATCACTGTATTAATACTTTTGAACGGCATAAATAGTAATTGATTATAATAAACTAACATGTTTAACACGTATGCATTATTTGAGCAATTTCTGTGTATAAATAAGTAGACTGGCTTTCCAGTTCTTGCCATCATTCATGCAGCCAGCTCAGCCAGCTAATGTGTACGAGCATGTACGTTTCCTGCTTTCGTAGAATTTGTGATGAAGTGGACTCTACAGTTGTTCCATCTCCTCTTTTTCTTTCTTCATGGCTAAGTGCAAATTCAACATCCACTGTTTTTGAAACATGGAGACACTATATCAGTGACGAAGAATAAGTTGGTAAACATTTCAATCTTGCATATTTGATTTATGTTTTTGTTATGAATTTTCAAAAGATTAGTCATTTATTCATATAGTTTTAGGAGGAATTAAAGATTGTAGACTTCTTCCATCACTATTGAAGAACTGACTTCATAATAACTTATAACACTTCATAATAACTTTATAGGAATGAAGTCCAGGGAGAGCAGAAAAAAGAAAGTAACCTCCCACTCAGATCATGCTCATTCCCTGAACAGATTTTGAAACATACCTGGGTCATCAGAGCTATGACATCTCATCTCTCACTCCATTCCTAAACCTACTTCGTAGTCTGGCTACTGGCTCCTTGTTCTCTTGCTCAAAGCTCTGCCTGAAAATCCTATCCTCAACCCATATTGGAAACAATGGGATCCAACTCAGAATATATCTCAAGGAAATAATATTATAAATCTGATTTAATGATCAATCCTTGCCTAGTGAGTTATATTTTGGTATCTCTTAATAAGTACCAATGTTTGAATAAAAATAAATGTGTACACAAATTCAAGAAATGTGGGAATGCTAGTAGCCTAGTGGTAAGAAGCTGTGCTGTAATCCTAAAGTCATACAGTTTGAATCCACCAGCATGTGCAATTTACAGCTTCACAAAATCCACTGAACACTCAGCTATGGTTCAGTTTCGACTCAACAGCACATAACAAAAACAATAATTCAAGAAGATGACAAATTCAGAACTTCTGGGATTTAGGTACCAGAATAGCAGTCCTGGGTTCTGGAACCAAAAGGAATTCAACAATGAACAAAGATGATGGTTTCTGAATTTGGGAAACAAAACCTACAAAGATTAATAAAATCACAAGATTATTACATTGTCTAGGAGAGTTGATGCCCTTGAGCTGTGGTGCTGCAGAAGAATATTTTATATACCATGGACTGTTAGGAAAACAAACAAGTTCGGCCTGGAGAGGGTGAAGTCAGGCTACTCTTTGGAGGCAAGGATTTGTCTGACAGACTTTGGACATGTTGCAAGGAGGAGCCAGTCCTTGCAGAGGGACATCATGCTTGGAGGGGGGGGGGCGGGGACAGTGCAGGAGAGGAAGACCCTCAATCCCTCGATGAGATGGATTGATTCAGTGACTGGGGTAACGTGGATAGGTGTGTCAGACACAATAAGATTGGCAATGAATGGAGCAGGGTACAGGGCTGTTATACATAGGGTCGCTATGAGTCACAGGTGACTCAACAGCACATCACAACAACAGGAGATATTTGATTTTTTAACCTCTCCATATGTAGGTGTATTATAAACACACTCTCATTTAAATATGTGGATATTTATCTCTACTTTGTCTCACATACTTGAGACATGTTGTTAGAAGGGGACAGCCCATCATGCTTGGAAAGGCAGAGGGGTTGTTAAAATAGAGAAAGCAAAATCAACCACACCACTACCACTGAACCTACTCTGACTCATATCAAAAGGCACTTTTAGCCATTGAAATTACCTAGTGGTTGCCAGAACTAGAACACCCT